AAATGAATAATAAGAATTTGGTCACTTAATGCACGATTGCTTGTGGGACACTGCTGTGCACAATTGGCTCACGGGTTTCGCCCACAAAATAAACAGTCACTACACTTTGTAGTATATTCTGTGAAGCACTTTGAGACGCCTCAAGGATGTGATAAGATGCTGTATCAAATGCAAGGATTATTATTATAATAATCAAATGACTTTTTATCAATTCTGTTTGCTGATGTTAATTTGATCCCATGTTAGTAAATTGCCTCAGTTGCCAACTGTTCCCAAACTTATTACAGGAAAAACGCTTTACATTTACAGTTTAAAATTGGGCAAAACTTTTGGGATTCAAGTAAAAGTAAAACTGGCTATTATTTAAAGTGTTCAAACTGCATCAAATGTAAAAAACTATTTGCTCTTCAGGCTTTCAACACTCTTATGAAGCATTTTAAATGCAATCAATCCATCTGTAGATAAAGGTAACAAATGTGTACTGATTTTGGGGGGAAGAGAGGGAGGAGGTGACCGTAAGCACAGTCGGTTGAAGAGGAAAGGTCACGATGCGCGATCTAAACGAACGAACATATCAAAGACACAAAGATTTGTTCACGATTTGAACCAGCTGAATAAATTACTGTTAAATCATAATTACAGTTTGATGCTGAAAGCAGAATTTGACGGAAAAGTACACAAATGGTATGTCATGCACATAAAATATTCTTACTCTGGGCTGTGATTTGAAAGAAAAATAATGGTTTTAGCTGCTTAGTGGTATTTTAATGAGATGTTCTTTGAAAACTGTCACAGTTGACGCAAAGCAAGTATAAGTAGACGAATCTATCAAACCTACTGCACTGAATAATGGCATTCAGTGATTTCCAATCTGTTGTTATTTCATCTCAGAAGGAAAAGCAATCGTACACTTTGATTTGAAACTAACGTTTGAGATCTGTCACACGGGAAAAAAAATAATAATAATAATCCTTGCATTTGATACAGTGCCTTATCTCATCTTCGAGACTTCTCAAAGCGTTTCACAGGATATACTGTAAAGTGAATGGACTGTGTGTTTTGTGGGTGAAACGCGGCAGCCAATTGCACACAGCAGCGTCCCACACACAGTGGTGGATTGAGTTACCAAATTATTTGTTTTGAAAGGATTATTACCTCCAGAAAAGCGATCCGCGAATCGACTAACAATCAGATTCCTACTTACTCCTAGATAAACAGAGACATGTGTGTGGAGTAAGGAAACTTGCCTGAGGTTTTGCTCTGCCCGGGAATCAAACCCGGGTCCTCTCGCTTGCGAGGCGAGGGCTCTAACCACTGAGCTACAGGACTCCACATATTCAGGTGTACATCAAATGCAAAATACAACGATACAGCAGATATCCCCGGATAAAGGATGGGATCTCACGAAAGCTTGAAACAGTGCAGACGTCACTGCCATCTTGGTGTCTCATCAGTTTGTGGAAGACCTTGGTCCCAACTCCTGTGCTGAACAACAACAAATTTACATTTGTTTGTATAGTGCCTTCCATGTCGCCTAATAATAATAATAACCAGCCATCCTTTACACCTACACTTACCGGTTGCAATGAATTACACATGCACAGTGTGGATTATTGATTGAGTTGGATTTTATATGAGTTGTACAGTTTGCCTGTAACTTGGAATTTGCGTAAATCACATTAAATGTTATGAAGACTGATAAAATTTGAATTATTTGAGTTTTACGGTATGTGGCACAGATTAGCGAGAGAGTTTGTCAGGATATTTCCAGGATATTAACCAGCTAAAACCGTGTAGCTTGCCATTCAGTGTTTCAGTAACTAAAGCTGAATTTATACATCAAATGCGTAAGGTTAACAATTTAGATTTTCAGAGTAACTGAGCTTTGGGGACATTTTATGTGTGCACATTCTGTAAAATTGGTTGGGCCAATAAGAACATAAGAATTTGCTGGTGAAAGAAGACCAAGGTCCATCCAGTTTGCCTTCCACCATCGTGGGCGTCGCTTGAAATGTTGTGTCCCCAAACTATTTACTGTACCCCAGATATTATTTTCTAGCAGAAATCTGTCTAATTTGTTCTCAAAACAAACAATACTTTATGCTTCGACCAGCTCACATGTTTTATTTTTCACAAGTATTGTGAGGTCTCGATGGCTGTCAGTTAATGGTATTTATAGAAACATTTCCAGCTGAAATCTTCAGTTGAAATATGTTGCTCGCTCTAGTGTAAAACTTCATTGATCTTTCCCCATTTATTATGTAATGCCATCAGGATGGCAATTATTCAGAAGCAAACTTTTTCTGTTCCCGGGTCAGACTAACCTTCTCTTCCCAGTTCTACAAACATATTACTGGTAAACACTATTTAAATTCAATGTAATTTTTATTTGGTTAATAATTAATGACTAACTGAACCAAATTAAATTTGTCCTTTGTTATTGTGGTTTCAATGAATACTGATCACGGCAACACTATATTGCCTATCGAAAGCTAGATACAGAATTCAAGAAATGAGTTGTATGTCACAAGCAATGTTCCTGTGTTTTAATATCCTAGTAAAATCTAACTTTGTGTGGAGTCCTGTAGCTCAGTAGTTAGAACACGCGCCTCGCAAGAGAGAGGACATGACAGAGCGAAACGTTGGGCAAGTTTCCTTTAGATTTGAACAAATATTCGTTATCTTCTGAGATAATAATAATAATCCTTATTATATAATCCTTGCATTTGATTATCACAGTCACTACACTTTACAGGTAAATCCTGTGAAGCACTTTGAGACAGACTCCCTCCCAATGTAACTATACCAAATGCAATGATTGTTACATTTGTTAATAATGCACATTATTACTTTGAGGAAACCATAAAACTGGTGACATGGTTCGTTCCACTAATTTTTGGGGGAAAAAACAATATAAATGAATAATAATAATAATCCTTGCATTTGATTTAGTACATTATCACATCTTCGAGGCGTCCCAAAGTGCTTCACAGAATATACTGTAAAGTGTAGTGACTGTGTACTTTGTGGGCGAAATGCAACAGCCAATTGCGCACAGACATGGGCTAGTGATTGAGTTTTGACTTTCTGCCAATAAAGTTGAGGCTTCCAGGCATTCATTTCAGATCCATCATCAGGGCAGTGACTGCAATGGCAATCCTCCAGAACCTCGTTACCATTCCCAGCTATTATATTCCTCCTGTCTGTCACATTCACCATCACGAAGAGTCACTTTCACCTGTTCCTCAGAGAGGGGAAGATAATCAGTCCCTACACTGTCTGTGATCAGAGCCAAATAATGTACTGAGAAACACAGGGTTATTTTGTTGTGCAAATTCTCCTCGAACATCAGACTCCTTCAATGTAACAGTCCATGTATGGAGTCCTGTAGCTTTATCACCTCAAGGCCGGACTATGGGACCTCTCTCCTCGCCGGCCTTCCCGGCCCTCCCTCCACACTGCAGGTCATTCAGAATTCTGCAGCTCATGTACTGTCCCACACCAGACACCGCGACCACATCACTCCCACCCTCACCCTCGTCCTCGCCCTCACCCTCACTCGCACCCTCGCCCTCACCCTCACCCTCGCCCTCGCTCGCCTCCACTGATCCCCATCCCCCAGAGGATCGATTTCAAGATCCTCATCCTCACCTACAAGGCCATTCCCGGCCTCGCTCCCTCCTACCTCTCTGACCTGCTATCCCCCTACCTACCTGCCCGTACCCTCCGTTCCTCTGACTCCGGTCTGCTCCACATCCTCCGCCCCAACCGCCCGACCATTGGTGGCCTTCAGCCTCTCAGCCCCGAGGCTCTGGAACTCCATCCCCAGTGCCTTCGCCGCTTCCTCCCTTTCCTCCTTCAAGGCCGGTCTCAAGGCCTTTCTCTTTGACTGTGCCTTCAGCTCCCCTCTCGACTCTCTACCCCCTCCTCGCTCCCTCCCTTCCCTCCCCTCACCCTGACCATTCCCCCCCTCCCTTCCCACCCCTCACCCTGACCATTTCCCCCCAATGCTCGGGTCCCGACCCAACTGTCCAGCGCCTCGGGACGTCCTCCCGACATGAAAGGCGCTCTATAAATGCAATCTTGTTGTTGTTGTTGTAGCTCAGTGGTTACAGCACTCGCCTCACAGGCGAGAGGACCTGAGTTCAATTCCCGGGCAGGACGGAACATTGGGCAATAAATAATGATTTGGTCACTCAATCCACGACTGTTTGTGAGACACTGCTGTGCGCAATTGGCTGCTGGGTTTCAGCGCTATATCAAATGATATATCATTATTTTTCTTATCTGCTGAGAGATGCTGTTTGCGTTAATATATATGGATGAGCAAAAGTAAATGTGAGGCAACATCAGCATTTATTTGCACATCTCAGAATGTCCCGGAAGCTTTCACACAAACAACAAGTTGGTCTGACAACACTGTGGTCAAGGCAACGGCTACACAAAAGTTACTATCGACGAGGCACAAACAGGATTAAATTCTTGCTGTGTCACTGAAGGAAACCAACAGGATAGCAGATCCCAGGTAATGGAATTTGGCAGCTTTCACAGTCTTTTCAGATGGTTAATTACAGTTTCTGCTTCTTTCATTACCAGACAATCAGCAGCCCCCATGTTGTCTGAGGTACAATTACCAGGGGCACAGATAGACTTATCGACTGCTGAGATATTAATAATGATCCTTGCACTAATAATCAAGATGTCTCAAAGCCCTTCACAGAATATACTGTAAAGTGAATTGACTGCATTTTGTGGGCGAAATGTGAACTGTCAATCAATGTAACAAGTGGGTTCCTACTTACTGCTGGTAAACAGAGGTGTAAGAAAACTTACCTAATGTTCCGCTCTGCCCAGGAATTAAACCCAGGTCTCTCGCTTGCGAGGCGAGTGCTCTAACCACTGAGCTACAGGACTCCACAATCTTAATAATAAACAATAACTTTATACTTGACAGCCATTAGACAGACTTGAAACCTATTATTTCAGGTTCGAGAGAGGTGATGGGACTCGAGCCAAGTGTGGCTTACAGCATTGGATGTACGTCACTTTGCTAATGAGGATACACAGCGTGATATTAAGTTAATTAAATTTCCTTCTATCTTCCGGGAATGGGCTCGATTGGCACAAACTTTCAAAGTGAAACAACAACAACATGGATTTATATAGCGTCCTCCACACCGGACGGCATCTCAGAGCGCTTTACAGTAACGGATCCCAGGACCGAGCCAGGGGGAGGGGGGGGAAGGTGACCCAAGGCTTCCCAAAGAAAGCTTCCCAAAGAAGCCTCACTGCCTGGCCCGCCAGTCACTGTATTGTGGTGAGTGGGTAGCAAACATTACCAACAGTCTAAATACACATCCCTTACGCTGTACTTTATTTCCCAGCTTGGCCCACAATGTACTTTGATATTTCTGATCTGGCACTTTGGTAAAGAACTTACATTTTCTTTAGTGGAGTCCTGCAACATAGTGGTTAGAGCACTCGCCTCGCAAGTGAGAGGACCCGGGTTTGATTCCCGGACAGGGCGAAACCTTAGACAAGTTTCCTTACTCCACACACCTCTGTTTACCAGCAGTCAGTAGGAACCCGGTTGTTATTTGATTGGCGGATCGCTTTTCCGAGGGTAATAATCCCTTCAAAAATTAAATACAAAATATTAATAAATTGGAAGCAGTGAGAAGAGAAACCAGCTTGTGAACAGCGTTTACAGACTGATAAACAATTCTCCCTCCTCCCCACCTCTCTCTCTCTCTCCCTCCCTCCCTGTGTCTGTGTAAAACACTGCCTGAGGACATTTAGGCTCAGTAAACAAACGCTGACTGAGTCTCAGTGATTTGCAATCTCAGGCTGTAATTTCTACTCCATTACCAGTCGCTGTGAGGGTGACAGAAGCTATTAACTTCTACGCTGTGGCCTCGTTCCAACAACCTGTGTATAGAGATTACACAGGAACCAGTCAGTCACTCCTGACACTGCACATCCACATCCACCAGGTAGCCAATGCCTTTCTCCTGCCTCACTGTCCCCAGAACTGAGTCGTGGCAGATGCGAGTGTGTGTGTGTCACGAGAAGTCTCACAGATGTGATAAGCCGCTATATCGAATGCAAAGATTATTATTATTGGACTTGTGTACAGGGAGGATAATTTCCAAATTTGCAAATGATACTAAACTAGGAAAAGTAGTAAGCAGTGAGGAGGAGAGTATCAGACTGCAAGAGGACATAGACAGACTGGTAACACGGGCAGACACGGGGCAGATGGAGTTTAATGGGGAGAAATGTGAAGTGATGCAGTTTGGGAGGAAGAATTAGGAGAGGCAATATACGCTGATGGGACAGTCTTAATGGGGGTGAAGGAACAGAGAGACCTGGGGGTCATATAAGGAAATTTTTGATGGTGACAGGACAGGCAGATAAAGCTGTTAAAAAAGCATACGGGACACAAGACTTTATAAATAGGGGCATAGAATACACAAGTCAGGAGGTTATGATGAACCTTTATATAAAACACTGGTGGGGCCTCAACGAGAGACTGGGTTCAGTTCTGGGCCCCACACTTTAGGAAGGATGTCAAGGCATTGTTGAGGGTACAAAGGAGATTGACCAGAATGGTACCAGGAATGAGGGACTTCAGTGATCAGGAGAGGTAGAGAAGTGAGGATTATTCTCCTGGGAGCAGAGAAGGTTAAGAGGAAACTTAATAGAAGTTTTCAAAATTCTGAGGGGATTTGATAGGGTGAACAGGAGAGACTATTCCCACTGGCGATGGGTCGGTAACCCGAGGGCACCCATTTAAAATAGTTGTTAAAAGAAACAGAGGGGAGGGGAGGAGAAATGTTTTCACACAGCGAGTTGTTGGGATCTGGAATCATTGCCTGAAAGGCCGGTGGGAACCGATTCGATAACAACTTTAAAGAGAGAAGCAGATAATTATTTGGGGAGGACAAGTTTGCAGGACTATGGGGAGAGAGCGGGGGAGTGGGGTTGATCAGGGCTATGGGGAGAGCCCGGGGGAGTGGGGTTGATCAGGGCTATGGGGAGAGAGCGGGGGAGTGGGGTTGATCAGGGCTATGGGGAGAGTGCGGGGGAGTGGGGTTGATCAGGGCTATGGGGAGAGCGCGGGGGAGTGGGGTTGATCAGGGCTATGGGGAGAGAGTGGGGGAGTGGGGTTGATCGGGGCTATGGGGAGAGCGGGGGAGTGGGGTTGATCAGGGCTATGGGGAGAGAGTGGGGGAGTGTGGTTGATCGGGGCTATGGGGAGAGAGCGGGGGAGTGGGGTTGATCAGGGCTATGGGGAGAGAGCGGGGGAGTGGGGTTGATCAGGGCTATGGGGAGAGAGCAGGGGAGTGGGGTTGATCAGGGCTATGGGGAGAGAGCGGGGGAGTGGGGTTGATCAGGGCTATGGGGAGAGAGTGGGGGAGTGGGGTTGATCAGGGCTATGGGGAGAGCGCGGGGGAGTGGGGTTGATTTGGAAGCTCTTTTCAAAGAGTCGGCACAGACACAATGGGCTGAATAGCCTCCTTCTGTGCTGTATAATTCTATGATTATTATTGTTGGAGATTTCAGATGTTCAGAACAAACATATTGAATGTATCAGAGGGAGGAATAGCCACTGTAATTAGACAGGATCGCTACACTGAGGGAAAACTGTTGAAATCAATTTTAGTGGAAATCTGTGACTCCAAAGGCAAGAAAGGTATTTGAAGCAACTGCTGTGGATTATTGGGGCAAAGTGAGCAAATTGGTATTTAATTGCAAGAGAAAATTGGAAAGGGCTCCCTAGCCAGGCTGCATAGTAATCGTGAACAAGATTAATTATCCTGACTTAAAATAGACACCTCAAAGGGTGATAATAAATTAATGGAGTTAGTCTAAGATTGCTTCTTAACTCAATATGTTAATTGGGAAACCAGGGCAGATCCGATACTGGACCTGATATTTAGAAGTGAAATGGACGGGATTTGAGACCTTATAGTTGGGGAATATTCAGGATGTTCTTGTTGGCAGGAAGTATCATCCAATCCGCGAGTTCTTTCTGTAGCTCAGTGGTTAGATCACTCGCTTCGCATGTGAGAGAACCCGGGTGCAATTCCTGGGCAGGGCAAAACCGTAGGGAAATTTCCTTTCTCCACATGCCTCTGTGTATTATTATCCTGGCATTTGCTACAGCGCCTTATCGTGTCTTTGAGACGTCTCAAAGCGCTTCACAGAATATACTGTAAAGTGTAGTGACTATATTTTATGTGCGAAACGAGGAGTGGTCAATCTTTTTGTTTGGCCAACAAAATAAATGTTCTTGATTTGATATATCTTGGTTTATGCCATAAATCAACTTGATGCTCCAAATCTCACTGCAGGAAAACATGTCGCTTTTTTTATTTGAACTAAATTTGATGTAGATTGTTAATAATAGATTCAATTTAGTGATGCATTCAATATTTTATCATTTTTTTTTCCTGCCTGTGGCTGAGGATAATTAATAGTCAAGAATAAATGAATAATAATCCTTATATATGATACAGCGCCTTATACATTGTGAGGACAAATTTCACCCACAAAATATGCATTGTTATTGGATTTCTCAAACCCTACCAAAATCTCTAGCTGCAGTTTCTCTGATTTAATAATAATTTGGTCACGGAATCCATGACTGTTGGTGAGACGTCGATGTTCGCAATTGGCTACCGTGTTTCACCCACAAAACCTGCAGTCACTACACCTTACAGTGTATCCTGTGAAACGCTTTGAGATGTCTCAACAACATGATAAGGCGCTGTATCAAATGCAAGGATTGTTATTATTATTATATTGTGGTATGAAGGCTAGTTTCAAACATTGGTTGAAATTTACTTGAGCAGGCAGCCCCACTAACATCAGGCAGGTTATATCTGCTCGTCAGGCTAGGCATGTATTCAACATCAGGTGCAGCCGCTAATTTACTTTCAGTGACGATCAGTAATATAATCACATTGTTATTGAATTTCTCAAAGACTAACAAAGTCTCAGTAATTATCTGCACTTCTCTGGATTTCCAATCCCAGCATTTCTCTGGTTACTGAGCTATGAAAGTAATATTGGTTTCTCCAACATGATTAAGGTTGGAATTGAATGAACCAGGGAGATAAGAGGTTTGTCCATATCATTTCTGTTCGAGCAAGTTCTGTCGATGCTAACGTTTTCAATTTTGAATCTAAACGGTCAATGCACTTTACAGTGTATTCTGTGAAGCGCTTAGAGACGTCTCGATGACGTGATAAGGCGCTATATCAAATGCAAGGACTATTATTATATTCTTTTGTTGCAAAAGATTATTGATAAATTATAACACCACAGACTCTATGAAACCCAACTGAAACAATGTAGTTTAGTTCAAGCTCCTTGGGACGCTCTCCTGTTGTGAAAGGCGCCATATAAATGTAAACGTGTTTGGTGATTGTAAGTGGAATGAGCTTAATAACAATAATAATCCTGGCATTTGATACAGTGCCTCATCACGTCATTGAGACGTCTCAAAGCGCTTCACAGGATATACTGTAAAGTGTAGTGACTGCAGGTTTTGTAAAACGGGGCAGCCAATTGCGCAAAGCAGTGTCCCACATATCGTAGTTGTAGATTGAGTGACATTATTATTTATTTAGTGAAGGGATTATTACCCCTGGAAAGCAATTCTCCGATCGATTAACAACCGGGTTCCTACTTACTGCTAGGCTAACAGAAACGTGATGCGTTAGGAAACTTGCCTGAGGAGTTGTCCTGCCCGGGAATCGAACTCAGGTCCTCTCACTTGCGAGGTGAGTGCTCTAACCACTGAGCTACAACTTTGAGACATCCTCCTGTTGTGAACGGCTCTATCTAAATCTAAACTTGTATTTGTAAGTGGAATGGGTTTAACCAAAAGTCTCATTATTTCACCATTTTGAAGATTTGCAATGAAGATGCAAGGAATCAGAAATGTAATGAAAGGTGATTCACTAACTAACGGAACGGGTGTGAGAATGAAGTACGGATCCAAATCCATCTCTTAATAAAACAACATTATTTCCATCGGGCTTACAATGCTGAATTCAAAGCCCACTTCAAAGCTGAGCCACAATACTTCACTAACTGACTTTCCAATGACTTATTAACAGGGTTTGATATCAAACTCCATGATGATTGTAATCTGCTCAGTGTTTGGAGGCTGCTGAAGTGAAAAGGATGCTGTGACCTGATCACAGTGTGTTGTTGCAGCGCAGAGTAAGCAGGTACGGTGTGGCTTTGTGTCTTGTGGCAATGCGGTTATGAGTTTAAGGTCTTCAAAGTCACCGTGCCTGCCTGTGACAAAGAAAGGCCTGCTTGTTCCTTCATGTCTGTGGCTTCAAAGCCCTTTGTAAAGGAAGGAATATTTGTGGAGAACTCAGCCACAGCTCTTTCTTTATGGTTGAAAGTAAAGCCCTTGTGTAAGAAATATTGTTTGTTTCATGAATAAATGAGCTAGATTTCTGCTGGATAATATGTGGGGATACAGTGTATAGTTTGGGACATGACATGTCAAGTGTCCGCCAGGATGGTAGAAGGTAAACTAAACCTTGGTCTTGATTCTCCAGGAAATTCTTATGTTCTTAAGAAGAGGCTTGGATAAGAACAGTATAACACTCAAACAGTAAAACAAAAGTGTAGTGGTTATAGCACTCACCTCGCAGCGAGAGGACCCGGGTTTGATACCTGGGCAGGGAGTAAACTTAAGCAAGTTTCCTTACCTCACATGTCTCTGTTTACCAGCAGTCAGTAGAAACACGGTTGTTAGTCGATTGGCGGATCATTTTTCCGGGGGTAATAATTCCTTCAAAAAAATATGTTGATGTTGGCAAATGTCAGGTTTAGGAAATCAGCAGGATATTGGACATGTGTTAGGCTCCATTTATAAAAAGCCCGCAGTTTAATTGGCAGATCCAAACAATAGAGCTTGTATATGCATGTCTTTATTTTCTCAATCAAATAACATGGCAAACAC